AATAATAATTATATATCGCAACCTCGGCCTAAAGCAGGAGTAGGAACGGGAATGGTTTTTAGCCAGTAAGAGTCTGACACTCCCTCTCGCAACACCTAGAACGAGAGTCGATGGATAATGATGTCCATTCAACAAAGCTTATGTCTATTGAATACAATTTCGAAATGTTTTTTAGATCATAACATTACTTACTTTATTACCTACTAGCTAATCTCGCGCGGTTTCACCCACTGCTCGGCTCCGTTTAATCGTAGCGTCTGTTTTATAGCCTATAGCATTCAGGAGCATTGTACCTATCTAACCGTGAAATAATTTCGTAAATCCGATCAGCGGTTCCAAAGTTTACCCCCTACATATTAACTTACAATACCTCTTTATAATATTAGTATAGAAAAACGTGTAGATATTATATATATATATATATATATATATAACACCCAAATTGGGTATACAATTAAACCTTTGTAACAATTTAATTGGCTTTATATTGAGTAGATAAAGTTTTTTATTATGTTTTATTACCATTCTCATATGGAGTGTACATTATGTAAAATAATTTAAATTAGTTACAACATTTTCCGGATTCCTTTTACAATCGCATACCCACATATATTTCGGAGGTCAATCTAGAATTATTGATTGATTTAAGCATTATACACTTTTTTTGTTCATGACTGGACTTAATACGTAATACCACTGCTTAAGCCTGGAGCAGAGGAAGAATCGAGGTTTCTAGTCAGTAAGAGTCTGTCACTTCCTTTCGTCCCACTCAGAATGTCCACCCAAGACATTAGATGGTCTATAAATTATATACACCACTAGCCTCTCTCGCGCGGTTTCACCCGCTGCTCAGTTTTGTTTGATCGTAGCGTGATGTTTTATAGCCTATAGCACTCAGGAATATTGTAGCTATCTATCAGTGAAAGATTTTTGGCAATCCGACCAGCGGTTCCAAAGATTACCCCCTACATACAAACTTACAAACATACACATATACAAACATACAAATTTACAAATTTTACCTCTTTATAATATGAGTACCTATAGATTACAATACACTTTATTCTTGATACTTAATATGTCGTAATGAACTTCTAAGTATAATTGATACTTAATGTTCTATTTACATAAAAAAACTTACGGAAGTATCTATCATTATTAATTCTGCGTCATACAAATCGTTGCACAACTAATGTTAAGTAAAGTTTCAATGTAAAATTAAAAACGTCGCTAATGTCCTTAGAATAGAGTTGATTATTATTAAATCAATCGTTAATTAGTATATAAATTGCTAAATATATTCTGGTCAATTAAGTAGATCATTTTATTCATGTTTAAACGCAGTTGATTGGGGGCTAAAATAGGTCCCAGATTTAATTTCTAGGCCTAGCATATTCCGGGGTTGCGGGTTGCGGGCCGCCCCGGCCTCACATACTGAGCCGGCATGGAGCAGGAGAAGTAACGGGGTAACTTTTAGTCAGTAAGAGTCTGACAAACCCTCTCTCGCCTCACCCTCGGCGCGATTTCATTTTATAATTTCACTCAAAAAAGGAATCATCCCTAATATAGGTATGTATATAGGATTCGACTAAGGAACTGGTAAATAGTCGACTTACATTCCATACGTGTAATTCTTCTTTTGTATTCGGGGATTAAAAGGTGTACAGTTTTTTTAATGTCATAAAAAGCGTAGCGTAGTAGTTGTGCACGCACGCGACCTTGAACTTCAAACGAGTTTACCAAATGCAGTGAAAGGGTTGGACGGCGTCATGCGCTAATGAACAATTTAATTTATTTATTTTATTCAATTACATCTACTTGTTTTACTTCATTTAAAATGACTAAGACATGTTAATTTGCTTTAAGGATTGATTAATTTATTTCGATTACATGTCAAATATTTTTTACACTTAATAAAATATGTAATAATTAATAAATAATTATTTGTTTGTTGTTACACATTCTTCATCTATCGTATGATGACGAACCGCGCATTAAGCAGGAGTTCCTTTTTATAAACCTGAGTCAGTATAACAATCGCAAACTATCTGACGAGCATACAGATTACAACAAACTCTTCAGCAATGAACGATCGAATCTACAATTTGGAACGAGCACCTACCTTCACTGACGAACAGACTGACATACTGCTGTTCTATTTTGACTTTTCAAAAGTACCTATTTATGGTTTAGTAGGAATCAATGATCTTGACTTCGACTTTGAACAGACAACAGTTAGTGAAGATGATGTTAAGGTTTAAATCGTTTCTTAAGACGAGAGAGAAGACAAAATTGCCAGTATAATGTAGTCATAACATCAGACATGTTATGTCTTCGCTTTTTAGGCTAAGGGCGCACAGCGGCAATTACATTAAACAAGGTTAAGGCAATTCTTATATACTTAATAAGTACTGAAAACGTTGTAATTATTAATTATAGATAGATAGCATTAATTGAAAAAATAAAGATTAATTAAGTTACATCATTAGACACGGGTCCAAGAAATACTTGATCTTTGGAGTTCATTTGTTATTTTCAGCCTAGACCTGTCAAGTAATTATTGTTATTAGGTTGAGTTTTAATTAAATCTTATTTAATCTTAGAAACTATTGAGAATTATTTTGCCCTTTTTATTTATTACGTTCTATTTGGTATAAAAGCAAAATTAAATGGGACATGATAAAAGCCTTAATAAGGCTATGGTGTGTCGCCATCTTTTTAAGCGTAAAATCATCGGGTGGTTCCTTCAGCCCTGGATGAGGCGAGAGATAGTGTCAGACTCTTATTCCCTAAAATCTACCCTGTCCCAATCCCTACCCTAAGCTGGGTTGCTATTTGATAATAACGGTACCGCATACGATAATTTATTTATAAAATAATATTAATACGGATGATGAAATTCATGATCAAAATCGTCATGGCTGTTGACGACCCTTTTCGGCAATTTTTGGTAAATTAAAGTAGTAAAATCAAACTATAGTGGTTTTAGAGTAAGGTTTAATTTTCATTATTTGAATTATATTCATTTAATGAAAACACAATATGTTAATAACCAAGATATCCTCATAGAAACATGCGTTGTCGACGACAGACAGAGCTTATTAAAATAATTGATAGTTACATATGACATGTTTTATTTCTCGATTTAGCATAGAGTAATAAATTCAATGTGCAGCCAACTAGATTATAAATAATGCATATTTGTTGTTATAATTATATGTATCACGTCAGGAAAGAATGCACGTCCAAAGATTTATTCATTACAATCGAATTTGTCGGAAATACTATTATTCAAATTATGAGATATCGAAACACTTTATTTTATGAATATAAATCTCATTTTTGAAAAATTACACATGCATAATATTGATTTAATGTAAAATTTATGTATTTATTGTTAACAATGCATTAACATGTAAAAATACTTTTTATAATGTTGTAATTGTAATGAGTTAAAATAGTTATGGTTTGTGTCCTATACATTTAAAACATACTAATAGGCAAGACTTCTTTCAAGTCTCTTGCAAACTTATCATCCACGCAGTCGGAAAATATTCTCGAGAAATTTACCTAACTTGAGCCCAAACTACGGCCATCAAACTTGTAGCTCTTTTAATTCTAAATTTAAATTAGTTATTTACACCGTGTAAAAATAAGGATAAAACATTAAATTTATTATATGTAATATTTTAATCTTAGTTCCTGCTTCACTCTCTCATAACGTCGTCCATTGTAATTGTATTGTTACGGATATTGACCCGAAACTGGTCCAGCCAGTTGGCGTTAAGCAATCCTTTAACTGTTGTGGCCAATTTATGTCAAAACAGTAATATATCGCCTCCATGGAGAATTTTTTACTGTTTCATGTAAATTATTTGTCATATGTAATTAATGAGCATTTCTTAATTTATTTTATGATCACATATACTTATCAGTTTATTTTACGATCACAATATAACATTTACAAATGTTGCGATCTATTATTTTTTTTGTTGTTAGTAGAAATAATAGTATTTTTGTCTTATGCTTCAAACCAAAGAAAATGATATCAATTTGCCTAAATTTCAATGAAAAACAAAACCGTTTTTCTAAAGAGCGAGATACTACGGCATATCTTCCCTGACTCCTGATTTTACGGGTCAAGCAAATGCATAATAAAATTGATCGTCATAAAAAACAAAAAAAAAAAAAATGGTGAGAAAACCAATTAGACGGACATAATTTACTCTTAACGATCACTTAATACAGGCATTGTTTAACATGCAATAAAAAATAATTAGTGTCAAGTAATAAAGATTCGCGGGTCATTTTATCTTATTATCCGTCCGTATGTCCCAATGTCTTAGCTAATACTATTAGCATACAATAACATTGGCGTAAATTTTAATTTTAACTTCATTGCAATTTTGGTACAAAGTATTTAATCAAGTAAGAACTGATTTTCAATACTCAGCTAAATGTTATCTGAGGAATAAAATTGTTGCTGTCACTGTCTTATACAAACATTCTGACGCGACAGCATCGTATTTATTTCACAGGTAACTTTTATCCAAGCATTGAATAATCAGCCCTAAGTAAGGCGAAAAGTATTTAATCTAATGTTAAAACCATTTAAGGTTCCTTCAGAACTATATTGAGTTTTAAAATGTTCTTTATGATAGTCATATTTTTGTTTTTTACGTAATTTGACGAAATAAATTCTTTATATAATTTGGCAACTAAATATCTGTGGTTTCCGCCATATCTGCGCTTACGCAGATGTAACGCACGTGCTTTAAAAATGTATGCCGTGCCATTTTCTACTGAGACCTTTTTTATGGGTGAGATATATGTACATTTCTGATAAATGTTTTCAAAACAAGGATTTTTATATTAAGATTTAATTGCTAAGAATACGTTTATAAAAACTATAATCGTCTTCCAATTGCTCAATTTACAGCTATGACGTAATTAATCATAAAAACCCATTTTAACGATTAAGAAAAACAATAATAACTCACCCAAGACTGCAAAACACTTCGTAATAATCACCTCAAATTTTCAATTTGCAACACTACGAGATCCCGCCAATCAAAAATAGACGCGCGGAATTCGAAATATTGTCAATCACGTTCGCTTCGATTTATGAATTTCGAACTCGACGTTTTATTTTTTAATTTATTTTTATTTAAGATGTTCCTATACAACCTCTATGTGAACCAAATAGGTTGTAGCGGTAACATTGGCGCGTGCGCCGTGGTATGGTGCGCGTCGACTACTAACTAGCCTGGTTTCCTTACCAACCTTGAAAGCTACTGAAAGCCCCGCCCGCCTTTGCATTCTTGGTAACAATTATATTAGATCAGTGTTTTAGTAATATAGTCCTTCGTGTCGCTTTGTTGTCAAGCTAGATGAAAAAATAGGGTCGTCAATGAGATGCAGTAGTCAGCCATTGAGAATTGATGGCATACTTGCGAGAAGGTTGTGAAAAAGGAAAAATGTTGGCTTTTCGTAGAACTATGCTAAATGGTTTTAATGAACTGGCAAAGGTCATTGGCTGATACTAGGTAATATGTAATACTGTGCACTAGACAATGGGGTCGGTCTTGTTAATTAGTGCTAAGTTGCCGCTACCGGAAACCTGCGTGTTCTAGTCAATAAATTAATCTAGAAACCAGACAAAGGAAGGCGATATAGGTAGTGTAGATTTTGTGCGCCTATTGTAGATATTAAATGATTGCCGTTTAAAAACTTCCTGTTTATTGATAACGCATATCGATGCATGTTACAAGTGTATTTATGAGGAATTGTATAAATGGTCTACGGCTATTTTAGGCTGTAAGTCTTGTAATTGCATCGAATAAAGTGCATAGCGTTGTTGTCACAAACTTGTGCGTATCTGCAACCTGCTCAATTAGGGCCCCGCCTAAATTCTGTAGCAAATAAAGTTTTTTAATTGCTAAACATGACAGGCCCAGTTTGGGGTGTTTATTTTTCTTAGCAGGAAATTTTGAAACAGATTAATAAAACATCATCATTTGCTTCATCTTCATTTGTTATTTTTTGTTTTCGTGATGAGGCGGCAGACAAGAAGGCCAGACTGAGGAGGACTGGGCCTCCGGAAACCTCACTCACATGGCGAATCAACGCTGTGATAGTTAAACGCCAGTTTTTCTGTGAGGACGTGGTATCACTCTGGTCGTGCCGACCTATTCGTGTCGAAGTATGGCTCTCACCATTTGTACTGTTTTCTTGACAAAATATATCAAAACTGTTGCAAGATTGAAACAAAAGATTTAGTTTTATTTATAGCTGAGATTGAAAGGTGAAATAGTTTAAACATTCATGAGTATCATCGATCGTCTAGTATTTCTTTCTTTGACCTATTTACCTAGTTTACAAATCTTAGAGGCCTTGGTCGAAAATTTTCTATAGATTTTATAATGGCTTTTTAAATATAAATTGTGTTTTTAATTAGCTACTATGTTTAACGGATTACTCACGAACTTATTAAATTTTATTTGTGATACGCCAGCAAAAAAGCAGTCGATTCACCTGATGGTAAGCAATCTGCGCCGCCCATGAACACCTGCAAGATCAGATGAATTGTGAGTGCGTTTTTAGCATTATGGGGAAGTGGTTTTGGGATTCAAGCATTAGTTAGGGAAGGGGGAGAAGAAGGTTTGCGCGTGCGGTAACCTCACTGGCACGGCGAAACACAACGCTGAGGTTGTTTCACGCCGGTTTTCTGTGAGACCGTGGTATCACTCCAGTCGAGCCAGCCCATCCGTGTCGATGCATGACCGACCTACCGGGTTTCAAGTGTTTGTAACTGTAGGATTTTCTTCAAATCATTTCATTTTCATGCCAGGATGGCTGTAAAAAGTTTCGATTCATAGTTTAATTGAATATTTCATTGAATCGTGGCACGTACGTAGAACTGAATGTAACAGCATTCAAAGATCATAACAATACATTTACCAGGAAGAGATAGTTCTAAAAACTCATAGAAAAGTATGATTCTACGTATCAAACAAATATTACAAAGACAGCCGTACTTTTTACCCGACTGCCAAAGAAGGAGGGTAATGTTTTTCGAGTGTATGTAAGTATGTATGTATGTCTTTTCCTTTGTGACCTCCTGTAGCCTAAACGGCTGGATGGATTTTGATGTATGAGGTATCGTTAGATTTGTCTTGATTACGGGAGTGTCATAGGATACATTTTATCCTAAAAGTCCCACGGGATAAAGACATAATAATATTTTTTCTAAATTTCCCTTTAAAAAAATATGTATGCGGTATCATTAGATTCATTTCAATCACGGGAGTAATTAATATAGGATACGTTTTTTCTCAAAATTCCCACGGGAACATGTTAATTCTGCGTCAACGCAAAGCAACTCATGCGTTAGCAAGCAAAAAGATAGGGCGTGGCCTGGCATGCGGCGCGCGGCGCGGTGCGGAGGGGGATATGCTCGAGTATACAGCCCGAATGCGGGCACACGCATAAGGGCATTAAGGGCACACGTCGTTGACGGTCGTCTCTAAATAGCGATAACATTTTCGTTAAATAAAAACAGCTAAAAAGTTATAAATAAAAAAATTATTATTAAAAAAACAAAATACCCGACTGCACACTAAAAAAAGAGTAAAACAAGCCCCACAATACAAATTTACTGAATATAATTTATAAATGTTGATGGAAAGCATCGCAGGCGGGGACCACCTTGACCGCCACCAACGAAAATTCTGCTAAATGGTGCACAACAGAAATGACTATAAATAAGCCTCTGTTGGTCCCCGCCTGCGATGCTTTCCATCAACATTTATAAATTATATTCAGTAAATTTGTATTGTGGGGCTTGTTTTACTCTTTTTTTAGTGTGCAGTCGGGTATTTTGTTTTTTTAAATAATAATTCTACACACTATTCTATTGCCATATAAAAAAAGGTTACACAAAAAGTAATAATTATATCGCGACACAAAAAAACTTTTTCAAATATGGAAAATATTTTTTTTTCCTTTTCTTTTTTTACGAACATAGCAAGTGATTGCTACTTAGTGTTAGAGCATTAGCTCCCAAAATTTACAGAAAAGTTCTCATAGGCATCAAGCTTAGCGCAGGACATCTACCTCAAAAAAAGTTTAAGTTTAAGAATATGATAAAAATGCAACCATGCAGGATGCTAATAATTGGCTGATTTAGAAGTCTTTTGGGGTTGGAGGAGACCTATTTTTTATATATATTTACACTATAGTAAATATTTATGTAAGTCTATGTACTTATAACATGTTTCTGATGATGCTTGTTTTGTGCATAAAGATATCAAATAAATAAATCAATAAATGTAATACACAACAAATGATAATAATAAAACTCTACAAAGTATTATCCAGATATCATAGTTATATGAAGTCTAAAAATCTTATAATTGTTACCTATAATTATATAAAACAGATGTAAATCGTAGTTAATAAATACCAGTTAGATTGATACATAACTTAGTAGAGGGTAATTAAACGAACTGTATTTATGTTATGTGCTTATTCATATTATTTTGTTGTATACAAATAAGGATTTATTACTATGGTCCGCTGTTTGTGTGTCTGTTGCGTTTGCAAAATAAAAACAAAAAACAATTAAACCTCGTTTCTGTGACAGACGTCTTATGAACATTAAACTGGAGTAAAGTTTGGCCTACTAATAAGTTTTATTTGTATTTAACCATTTGAGGAATAGCCTAAGTAACATATGATTTGGAGTCATCATCAGCCTATAAGTGCCCACTGCTGAGCAAAGCCTCTTCTCACACGGAGAAGGTTAAGAGCATTAATCACCATGCTTGCTCAATGCGGGTAGGCGATTTCAAACTTATAATTAGAAATTATAAGTCCAGGTTTCCTCACGATGTTTACATTCACCGTTTGTCAGTGGTGTCTAAATAATCATAGTACATATAACTCGAAAAAAGTCATATTGGTACTTGCCAGGTTTCGAACCACGGGCCATTATGACATTTGGAGTGGTACCACAGAATACTGGCGTGTAACAACAAACTCACACACGCCGAGTGTGAGTGTGTCCTCCGCCCCAACTCCCTTAGTCTTCAAATCCCTCACTCCCTAAAGGCCCGAAATACAATTGCAACATCTCTAGTGTTGCGAGTATCATCGGCGACGCCGATTGCTTACCATCAAAAAGGTCGTTTGCATGTTCCATAAAAATATTTGGTCCTGGTACAAAAAGTATTAAAAGACAAGTTACAATACAAAGAACCTGTACTTCTTTTGTTAATAATTGTAATGAGAGTTTGATTGCATGCGTAATGGAATACAGAATACTTGAGCTTGAATAAAATAGGTTTACTATTAAACGACGGATGCCGCAGTTCCTTGTAGTTAAGAAAAAATAAAATAGTTATTATAATCGTATAATAAACACCTGACAACGAGACTACAGTTGCATTTGTACAATAAATCTATGATGCATGACTTGTTAATATAAATAAGATATTACGTAATAGTGTCATGATTACATCAATCTTTATTTACATTTTTTTGCCGAGTCATTAAGGGAAGGGCGTTTTTCGTAAAAAGAACGCATTCGTTCCCGAGTGATTCGAATTTCAAATTATTATTTGACATTGTGTTGCTACAACGTATCGGTTTTGGGGGTAACGTGAATTTGTTATTGAGAGTTTCGTTGTGGGAAACTTTTATTTCTAATCTATCTAATCTACAAAAATGTAACAGTGTGTGTTTACATCAAAGCATCATCTTTTTTTTTCAAATTCTAACAATACAAAAATATTTAAACGTAAACACCGCATATCGAAGACTCTTACTGACTAAAAACTCCTCCTTCCTTTTCGTGCTCCAGGCCGGGGTCTACCTCTAAAAGAGTTTAAGTTTGAGTTACCTTTTTGCACGTTCCCCGCAACCCCGGCTGTTACTTACTACAACTATCACAAATATTAAATATAAATAAAACAAATATCTACACTAGTATCATCAACAAAGACGCTTTCGTCTGTTACGCTAAGCTCGGGTACTGTATAAAAACAACATTAGCCGAGTAACTTCTATCTGCGTTGATGAGAAAAAATTGACTTATTACGGGGCCGCTTATCTTGGCAACGAGCCGTCAAAGTTTAATGAGGAAGAAGGCGCATAATATTTTATTCCATAGATTTTTTAACATAAAAATAATGGGTCCTAAAGAGATATTCGTCGGTAACTGTGAAGGAAAATTGGGTCGTTTTTGTTTT